CTGGCTGTTGCCAGCCCAGCCGTGCAAGGAAAGAGTCAGTGGTTTCTTGGGATTGTCGTTGCTCCTGAAGCCAGTCAGCGCCTTGAGAATCACCTCCGTGGCCAGATGCTGCCCAAACAGCTTCTCCTCCAAATCCAGCTTGAGGGCTGCAGGAGCCAGCCGGAGAACAGAGAGAGAAAGGCACGTTAAACCTGCACCAGCCAAGAGGCCTCATCCCCGCCGGCCAGAGAGGCGCCAGGGCACGGGGCCCAGCAGGGTCTCTGCCGGACCCCAGGCTGGCCCTGCGGCGGAACACGGGCTGCAGTCACATGGGGCCACTTGCAGGGAAAGCTTAGGAGTATCCTAATTAAGTTAATAACAATGTACCTACCTGTATAGTTTAAGTTTAAAAAATGTGGCTCTCAAAGGAAATTTCAATCGTTGTACTGTTGATATTTGGCTCTGTTGACTAATGAGTTTTCCGACCACTGAACTAGATGGACGAGTGTCCTCAACACTCCGGGCTCTGACACGCAGGCCACACGTGTCCCTTCATCCCAGGACTAGCCCTCTCTCCACTGAGCTGCACGCTCCCCGCCACCCCACTGGCCTGTCAGAACGCCCGGGCCAGATGTGGGCAGCCTGGGTGGAGGCCACAACCTGCAAACCACTGAAGGTTCAGGTGACTCAGAAGGGCTGACCACGCTGCTTTCAGTTTCTTCCTGATGTGATCCCTGGGGTCACAACGCCGACACGGGGCGTGGACAGGACAGGGACCACGTATGACCTTGACCAGGTCAGCGAGGCCGGCAGGGCAGGCCCTACAGACTCACAGTTCTTCACAGGTTTGAATGTTCTCCCTGAACACCTTCTCCCGCCTCCCTGATCTATCACCAGCGAACCTCACGGGACCCCCTTCCGTCTTCCCCTCTGACTCTGATGCAGAAAATAAGCGGTAAAGCTGCCACTTTGGGAGCATTTCTCAAGCCGGTGGGAATTGTCGGTTTGTCTCAAACACATTCGTAAGGATCCTGACACGCGTGGACGTTCCTGACGTCCACAGGAGGCGCGGCTCCCAGGGCTGCGGTCCCGACCGAGGCCCCACCGCCCTCTGCCTCCCCCACCTCGGGGCCCGGCCCTCGCGCCCCTCC